TTGCGACAAGAAGTGCAATGAACCGCGCGCAGTGAAATGCAATCTCCGACCCACCCGCCGTGCAGCTCACAATCAGCTGAAACAAAGTGCCGCCCCGGCCGTTTAGTGTGTCAGCTAAAGACGAGGGAGACGTAGCGCACAAAATTACTCTTGTGCTGAGGGATCGTTCGGGAAGTACACCTGTTTTTCTCACATTCATTCGGCTAATTACGAGAGCTCGACGGCTGCCAGATTTGGGGTAGGCCATCCCGCGGTGCACGCGTGCGCTGCAGGATAAGATGTTGCCTACCCACCAGGCGCTACGAGAGCTTGCATTGGCTGAACTTGGCAGTTTCGTATCGGCGAAAGGCAGACAGACTTCCTGGATGATCACTAAGGAGTGAACTTTAACTTAACACCCATTATCGGCCTTATTGCGGCTGGATCATTCAAAATGTGCGTCCGGCATCTGGGGTCAGGAAATTGCTATGTTTAGCCGGTTCAGCAAGTGGGAGGTCTCATGGCGCCTTGTAGGTAGGCAACATATTGCCTGTAGTGCACGCGTGTACTGCGGGCTGGCCTACCCCGAGTTTCGCAGGCGCCGAGCTATCGTAATTTTCGGAGTTAACGAATGAAATCTGAGAATCAGATGTTCTACACGATCCATAAGAATAAAAAAGTGCTTTTCTCTTATTGCAGTGTTAAACTCATTTGGGTGTAAGCAGATTTTGGCATGACCATTAGTACATTAAACTCTGAAAAGAACGTTTAAGATAAAAACATATTTTTATCGATGAAGACCCTGTAAGCAAGTTAGGCTACACACGGGGTATTTCGCTACATTGTGTTCTGGGTATGGATCGTAATTTCATTTAGAGTTTTGTAAATGCTTTTTTTCTAAACCGCCTTCACGCCTCGCTTCACGCCACGCAGGCTGGACGACACTCACTGCTGGACTACTACAAAGCGCCGCTCCACATCGGCATCCGGTGCGGTCCAGTTCAGTGCGGAGCAGGGCTGTCGCATTCGTGCGCGAAGTTCTGTTGTTCACTTGATTGCTTTACTGGATGGAGACCCCCAACTTTCCATACCCGAAGTACAGTGGACTTTCGCTTATTAGAACGTGCGCTCTCTTAACTGTCGTGTGCGAGAGAGATGGCAATAGAACAATAGCACGTTCCATATGGGCTGACCGTCAGCTCCGGAGCCGGCTCGCCCGCGACTCGTCGACTGGCTGCCGAAGAGTGGGGAGAAAAGAGCGCGGCAGCAGCGAACGCACCGTACCCTGCAATAACGCAGCGAGGGGCCCGCTGGACTGAGACTTGTGCTTGCCTATTACCTCCATGCGAGCGAGTAGGCAACCCGCCCGGCCACCTTGTACTAATCGCCATCACCCGTGTTTCAGGCTTCGAGCAGTACAGCGCGTTCGAGTACCAGCGCTGCGAACACAACAACCACGAGAGCTCGGTGCTGGCCGTCTACGTCTACGTGGCACTGAGCACCTACCTGCCTGGAACCATCATATTCGTCAGCAACGTCATCCTGTTCCTCAAACTCAGGCGCTCCGACTCGCTGCGCCGCTCCCTGTTCGGTAAATTTAAATAACCTCTGCCGAGAGGCTCGAAATATTTTACGTTTCCAACATTTTCGCGAAGCGTATAAACTTTCTTCATTTAAATTTGCTGCTGCGGGGGCATTGTAGTATGTGAACCTTGTCTGCTCTCCCACAGCCGGCACGGGGCACGACGGCGCCTACTACAGCAGCGACGCGGCGGCGCGCACGCTCGTGCTGTTCTCCCTGCTGTACCTGCTGCTGCAGCTGCCGCTCGGCATCGTGGAGACCGTGGAGCTATACTGGGACGTGACGCTGTACCGGCCGCCCTCCTCCAGCGGTGCCAAGCGCGAGGCGTACATCTTCTGGTGGGCGCTTCGAGCCACGGCTCTCTACCAACATTCCATCGATAGTGTTCGAACGGCTTGTTAACTTTCCTCTCGCATGTTCCAGGCTCTGCCGGAAGCTGCAGCTCAAATGGTCGCGCAGCCTGCTGTTCTGGCTGTTCCAGCTCAGCTTCGTGCTCAACTTCGTCGTCTACCTGAAGTCGGGCGGGCGCTTCCGCGTCGTGGCCAAGGGCCTGGCCCTGCAGTGGCTGGGGTGGCTGAGCTGCGGGCTGGGCCGGCCGCTGGGCGCCGCCCCGGGGCCCTCCCTCGGCCACCGCCCGCTGTCCTCGCTGCTGCCGCTCTGCTCGTCCCGGTCGTCTGCCGTCCCCGTGGCCTCCGCCGACGCGGCCACCACGTACGTGCACACCACCTTCGTGCCCGCCGACTACGAGCCCGTGGACTACGAGCCCGCGCTCAAGGCCGTGGAGGAGAACGAGGACGTGGCCGCGGCCGCCGCGCCCGTCAGCAGCAGCGGCAGCACGGGCAGCTTCAGCAGCGGCAGCAGCGCCAGCGACCTGCTCTCGCCCGCCAACGCCCTGACGCTGTGCTGGCCGCGGCCACGAGACAGCCCCCGCCCCAGCCCCAGGCACAGCCCCAAGCCCAGCCCCAGGCACAGCCCCCGCGCCAGCCCCTGGGCCAGCCCCGCGCCCCGCCAGCGCGCCCGCGCCGTGTCCTGCCCGCACCGCGCAGCGCTGCGCCGCCCGACCGCCGCGCGCTCTGCGCCCTGCAAGCCATGTCGGAGGGCGAGGATCAACACCTGGGCCTCCTACGTCAGGTGAGTTGAGTTGCGTCGAGTACATTCCCCAATACAGATCCCCAATCCTCATAAACAGGATCAGACTACACGCCTTTGCCTTTTCGAATGGGGGCCCACGTGCAGTTGGGACGCCTACTGGCCGCTCCGTGAGGCGATAGTCTGGCGATAGTAAGCGGTCGGTACAGTAAATGGTGTCATTACAAATATTGACGGAGCGGACTTTGGTTTGTCTGTTTGCAGGACGCAGGGGATGATGGCGTTGGCTCGCAGCGTCGCTAGTGCGGTCGGCGCGAGCAGGGCCACCGTGAGCACGGCCAGCAGTGGTCACAGCCCACTTACCTTCGACGGCGACCTGGACGCGGACTCGGTGTTCGACTCGCCGCCGGTCTTCGCGCTCACCGTCATGCACCACGACGAGGCGCTGGCCCAGCAGGACGCCTGCGGTGGCTACATCGGTCCCGGTGACTGCGGCTCGCAGGACGACCTGCTGTCTCTGCCCTTGCAGGACCCCGCGGAGACTTACGCCAGCCCGGCCGGCTTACAACAGGACCTGCTCTCACAACCCCTGCACGATCTCGCAGGACTCTCGTTTAGCCCCTCTCAGGATCACCCGGCGCAGCAGGACTTGCTCGCCCTCCCAGACTTTGGCGAGATGTTCGCCAGCCCTGTCTTGTGCCCACAACAGGATGTGCTGTCGATGCCGCTCCAGGAAGTGGGACCCTACCCCTCCGCTTGCGCCGTCCACACGCTGGATCGGCGGAAGGGCGATGAACTGTTCCACAGCGAGAGAGATCTGGACAGGCACAGAGTGTGCATGGCCACGAGCCGGACTAGTAGGAAGCTGGAGAGGTTCTTGAGCGAGCCGCATGGACCGCACCAGTTCCGGTGAATAGCTCGACATATGTGACATCTGGCAGATAGGAAATCGGGACCGCAGTTTTGAGGTGCTTTTACTTTTACTAATCTGAGTATGTATTCGTGCCATCTCTTGTTTCTTGTTTCGCTTGATGGTTTTTGTTGGTGCAGCTTTGGAACACATGAATGATCTCCGCCTGGAACTGTTTTTAACGACTATTTTAAAATGTTTTAAGTTACATATCCCTTTTTCTTTCACTGTGCAACATAAATTAACTGTTAAGACAGATAAATGTTTTTATTTTTGTAGAAAACGCCATGCGGGCGGTATTTTAATTTTAACAAGTGAACAAATATTTATGATTTCTTTTGATCATATTTATTATAAGGTAGACATTTCACAATGTAATTGTAACAATTAGGTTTATTCATCTTGATGAATTTTCGTTTGAATCGTGTTCGTATCTCCCTTCGTCAGAATGCGTTACAATGTACCTTGTGCTCCAAGTTTTATTGAACTCTTCTTGTACCGGGTGTAACTGAGAATGCGCAACAGTGTTGCGGGTTTGCCTACCCAGTTAGCCCGTAAGGCGCCATGGCCCCTGCAGCCCTGGCGGGTATGCAATCCCGCAACACTGTTGCGCATTCTCAGTTACACCCGGTACATATGAACTCTATCGTGTAGTGATGTTGAACATTAAACAATTTACCAACTTGAAATCTTCGAGATTGTCTGAAACTGAAATCATCGTCCATTCTAAGTCGATTCGAAGGCCACTTCTTGCACGTCCGTTTTTCTCAGATTCATTCGGCGCATTACGGGACGGGAGCACGGCGCCTGCGAAACTCAGGGTAGGCCACCCCGCAGTACACGCGTGCACTGCAGGCAAGATGTTGCCTACAGACCAGGCGCTATGAGAGCTTGCACAGGCCAACAGTTCATGATTGTGGCTTCTACCCATCTACTAAGACATACTATGGCGATCGCTTATTGCGTTTGAAGGGAAAAGCGCCCGTGTGGCCTTGTGCTAGTGGGGGGCACTTTGTCTTGCGGTAGAGACAGTCTTGGGGACTGTTAAAACATTATCAGCAGGTTGGAGCTCGGCCCGGCCCGGCGGGGTGTACCCGGTAGCCGTGTGTGGTGGCGGTGGCGGTGGCGGTGCGTCGCGCGTTGCGGCGCTACTGTGTCACTGCGCAGCCGCTCCTGCAGGCTGCTTGCCTCTGATTCGAGCCGCCGCGCGGGCTGGCTGCAGTATCTCCAGTATCTGCCGGGCGGTCACACCAGTCACACTCCGGCGGCAGCAGAGGCAGCGGCAGCAGCGGCAGCGGCGGGACTGGGCGGATACCCATAGTCTGTCCTGTTCCACGCGGTTGGCTTTGACGTTGGTAGGTGGTGGATGTATGAGTCGGTGATGTAGCCGCCGGCGGTGGTCGTATCGCCCTGGCCTTGACCCACTGACCCGCGGCAGTATAGCGAAGGTTGGGGAGCGTGTGCTGCGCGGAAACTCGCCACCGCCCATCGCTGATAAGGACGTTGCAAGGCCGCCGGTCCTTCGACAGGTTTGGGTGTGCGCGGACGGTGCCGTGCCGTGTTCTTGTCCTATTATCTCCCCTCGCCGACTTTCCGGACTTTCGGCTAGCTCAGTCTGGCCCGGGCCGTCACGGCGTTGTGTGCGGTACGCGGCTACGCGGCGACGCGGCGCTATGGAGGGCACTCGGCGCGGCGCGGGCCCGGTCGGCCCGGGGGCCGCGGGGGCGACGGGGAGCTCAACGACCCGACCAGGTGACCATGTCGGAGGGGGCCGGGGCTGTCGACCCGCCGACCGAAAACCCGTCGAGAGCGAGTCGTCTCGGCACCCGTGTAAAACGTGTCGCGGCCCGTTCTCGTGCGAGCGAACGGCACAGCGGGGTGTCCGCCGGCCCGCCGAGTATTTTCGGTCGTGAATATTCCGTGCTCTATTCAGTTTAGCCACGCGTCCGAAAGCACGTGGAGTCGGGGCAAGGGGAAAGAATGTGCCATCCTCGCGCTCACACTTGCGTGGCTTAACTGAATATAGCTCCGGTTAGTTATTCACATTTCTGTCGAACCATATTAATCTGTTTCGTGTATCAACCACGAATGAAGGGTGCCCATTTCTCATGTAGCCCCGTAACGCTGTGACTCCCGTGACTACCTCTATTAGCGATTCAAACACGCCTGCCCTTACGCGCGCAAGCGCTCTGATGCGGCCTGCCGCTGAACTACGTGATTCCAGTCTCCCTATTGGCCAGCGCCGTGTATGGTGGTCGTCCTGGCGGCTGTCAGCGGCCGGGTTTTGAAACTTAAACTTGGATGGGCCAAATCGGTTGTTGGAAGTGGGTTACGTAAGAAAGTGATAGAAATGGCAAAGTTATCCCTTCCGTGTTTTGGACACCGACGCCTTTAAACCGAGCAGCGCTTCTTTACTTTCGAGTTGGGCCGTGAGTTGTTACCGATTGCGTAAAATTTGGGATATGGGAAACTGATAACCTTTGTATCCATTTGATCCTTGGATTTGTTTCCCCCTGTTTGGGTTTAACGTTGGTCTAAGATAAAAACATTTCCTCTGTGCATAATATTTTGAGCTGGATATTGTTTGAGAAGGGTTGTTTTGTGAGTTTTTATGGATATCCAGCCAACAACCTAATTTCAGTGCCCTACATAAAGTTATTACCTCAACAATGTGAACCTGAATTGAATTGGTGTTCATATTTGTCTTGTTTCTGTGAAGTTGCCTCTATACCATTTTAAAGAAAATTTAATTTCTTGAATCTATTAAATTTACATCAGTTTTATTTACAGGTTTTTATCTGCCTCATCTGCTGTCAAAAAGAAAAGACCAAATTTATACAGAAGTGCCAAAAATGGAAACAACAAATAAGACATTACCTCAGCCACCTAATCTCCGAGCAAAGGCCAATATATTATCAGCTCTGACTTTCGCCTGGACATTTCCTCTCTTCCGGCAAGGTTATAAGAGGGATCTGACTGTCTCGGATCTATGTGTACCACTGGATGCGTATGATTCAAAACAGCTAGGAGACAACTTGGAAGATCTCTGGAACGAGCAGCAAAAGAAAAGTCATGAAGGAACGAAGCAAAAACTGCCAAGTGTTTGGGCAGTTCTTCGTTCATTTTGTGGATGGGAATTGTTTTTCTTAGCATTTGGCTTATTTTTGTTTGATCTGACTATCAAACTAGGACAACCAATCTTACTTGGTAAATTTCTTAACTATTTCACTGTCAACAGCACAGTTACTGGTGAAGAGGCAACCATTTACGCCTCTGGGGTAGCAGTATCAGTGTTTCTGCACCAGTTTGGCATGCATCCCTTTTTATTTGGCCTCATGTACCTTGGCATGAGAGTTCGTGTTGGTCTCTCATCTCTTTTGTATCGCAAACTATTAAGAGTTTCCATTTCATCAAGTGCTGGTGTCACCGGAGGATATGTCATAAATCTGCTAACCAATGATGCAAGTCGGTTTGACTTTGCCCCCCTCTTTTTACCTGATGCCTTTGGAGGAATAGTGTGCAGTATTGTGGTAACTTACTTTTTATGGCAAGAGGTGGGGATTTCTTCTCTGGTAGGATTGTCTGCGCTTGTTCTATTTGTCCCTGTTCAAGCAATGTTGGCAAGAAAATCTTCTTCCCTCCGAGAAAAAACTGCCAAAAGGACAGACAAGAGGATCCAGTTAATGAATGAGATAATTCAAGGCATCCAGGCTATAAAAATGTATGCTTGGGAGAAACGATTTTCAAGACTAGTTGAAGTTTCAAGAAAGAAAGAAATAACTGTCATTAGGTCCAAGCTATATTATACTGGTGTTGCATTTGCTTTGTCTTTGTTCCTAACTAAAGTCTCCTTTTTCTTTTGTGTGTTACACTTTGCTCTCTCGGGAAATGCCATTGCACCGGACAGAATATTTTCTGCTATTATGTACTTCAATATACTTCAAGAAAGTTTAACTATCTATTTTCCTTTGTCCATTCAGAAGTTAGCTGAATGTGTTGTAGCTGCGCAAAGAATGCAAGAGTTTCTTTTGAGACCTGAATCCACTTGTATGCTGGTCAAGCCTAGTGTAACTGGTAGTGCTGAAGTGCTTTTAAAAAATGTGAATGCTAAGTGGACTTATGATCAACAAAGCAATTCACTTGAAGATTTGAATTTGTCAGTTTCTTCAGGAATGCTTGTTGGTGTTATTGGACAAGTAGGTTCTGGAAAGTCGTCCCTCTTACACTTAATATTACGAGAGATGCCTCATGTTACTGGTTGTATGAATATTCAAGGATCCATATCTTATGCATCTCAAGAACCTTGGTTATTTGTTGGAACTGTTCTACAAAATATTTTATTTGGTCTACCTATGGACAAGCAAAGATACAAAGAAGTGGTAAGAGTTTGTGCCTTGGAGGATGATTTCAAGCAGTTTCCTAGAGGCGATAAAACTCAAGTAGGTGAGCATGGACATTCACTTAGTGGTGGACAAAGAGCTCGAATAAATTTGGCAAGGGCAGTTTATAGAAGGGCTGATATATACCTGTTAGATGATCCATTATCTGCGGTTGATACCCACGTTGGAAGACACCTTTTTGATGATTGCATCAGTGGATTCCTAGCTGGAAAGGTTGTTATATTGTGCACTCATCAGTTACAATATCTCAGCAATGTGGAACTTATTCTTATGATGAAAAATGGAAGTATCTATGCTCAGGGTACATTTTCAGAATTACAGAACTGTGGCACTGAATTGTCTGACCTGATGAAGGCTGAATCAAAAAGTGAGGAGAACCCTGCCAAAGATCAGTTGCAGAGAAGACTGTCTGTTCACAGTACTAATTCCGAAGAGGATTTTGATGTACCCGAAGAAATGAAATCGAAGGGAAGTGTCACGTGGCATGTCTATGCATCCTATTTCAAAGCAGCTTGTGGTGTACCAACGTTCTTACTACTTTTGATTCTCTTAGTACTCTCTCAGGGATCAATTAGTCTTGCCGATTATTGGACAGCCTATTGGGTTGACCTTGAACAGTACTATTTTAAGTATGGCAATGCTACCTATCTTCCACTTTTGAATGAAATGAATCAAGAAAAATGTTTGTATGTGTTGGGATTTCTTATAGCTCTGACAATTTTTGTCAATTTGAGTAGAATAATTTCATTTGTCTATTGCTGCATGGAGGGCTCAAAAACTTTACATGATGTAATGTTCAACACCGTTTCAAAAGCAACCATGTACTTTTTTGACAACAATCCATCAGGTCGCATTTTAACAAGATTCTCCAGAGACATTGGTGTTGTCGATGAGAAGTTACCAGGAACACTCTCAGACTTTCTCGAGGTGGCTATGCATCTTCTTGGGGTTCTCTGTATCATTTGTGTTGTGAACTATTGGCTTGTCATTCCTGCACTTGTGATGGGAATATTGTTTGGTCTCTTGCGCCATCTCTTCATGTTGACCTCAAGAAGCTTGAAGCGTTTGGAGGGTGTTACTAGTAGTCCAATTTATACCCACACCAACGCTACTCTGGGGGGGCTCGTCACAATCAGGTCAATGCATGCCTCAGTAAGTGTTAATGATGATATATAAACTTTACATGAATTCACATATTATTTGGTCCCTGATGTAAAACTTTTTCCCCATAAAATTTCTGTTTAGGATGACTTAACGAGAGAGTTTGATTCTAAGCAAAATATAAATTCTTCGGCTGTGTTCTATTCTTTAGGCACAAACAGAGCCTTTGCATATTGGTTAGACCTTGTATGCTGTTGTTATACTATGTTGGTCATCTTTAGCTTCTTATTTCTTGACTCTGAATTCAAAGGTGGTGAAGTTGGCCTCACCATTACTCAAGCACTTTCCCTAATTTTCATGTGCCAGGTATGTGTTAAAATATTTATTATTATGACTTAAAGTATCTATTGAAGATATATTTTTATTCATTGAAATTGTTTTGAAATTTTTAAAAATGTTCTTAATTTTTAGTGGGCTATGCGCCAGGCTGCGGAAGTAGAAAATTTCATGACCTCAGTGGAGCGTGTGTTGGAGTTCCATAAAGTTGAAAGTGAGGAGGGGAGGTTACTAACAAAGGTTGAGCACAATCTTCCCAAAATGTGGCCGACATGTGGAGATATCACTTTCCAGAATGTGTGCCTCCGTTATTCTTCATCAGATCCCCCAGTACTCAAAAGACTTAACTTTTCCATAAAATCAGGAGAAAAGGTGTGTAATAATATATATGAAATCAGGAAACCTGCTTGAATTAGATTTTTAAAATCTTTATTATTTTTCTGATGTTTTTATTGCCCAGATTGGAATAGTTGGACGAACAGGAGCAGGCAAATCTTCACTTTTGAGTGCACTCTTTCAGCTGTATCCTGTGGAAGGAACCATCATCATCGATAAAGTTGACACCAGCAAAATTGGTCTTCAAGATTTGCGGTCTCATTTGTCTGTGATACCACAAGAGCCTGTGCTTTTCACTGGTTAGCTTAATTAATCTACAATGACATTCATTGTTAAAAAATTTTCTGCTGCTTTATCTGCAATAACAGTTATTATGCTTTTACAGGTTCGTTGAGGCATAATATTGATCCTTTTGAACAGTTCAAAGATGAAGAGTTATGGAGGGTGCTTGAAGATGTTAAATTAAAATCATATGTTGAAGATATGCATGGTATGTGACCTAACAGTTTCTGTTAAACAAACTAGTTTATTGTGAATTCAGAATTTTTAAAATAATTATTGTTCTGATGGTTTTCAGGGGGGCTTCAGTTTGTTGTAACGGAAGGTGGAAGTAACCTGAGTGTTGGCCAGAGGCAACTTGTGTGTTTAGCTCGTGCCATTCTTCGCCAAAACAAAATTTTGATTTTAGATGAGGCTACTGCCAACATGGATACTTACACAGACCAGCTTATCCAAGCCACTCTTAGACACAAATTTGTTGATTGCACTGTGTTAACAGTGGCTCACCGTCTAGATACAGTTATGGATTGTGATAGAATTCTTGTAATGGATGCTGGTCAGGTAGCAGAATTTGGAAAGCCATATGAACTTCTCGAAAATAAGAATGGACTTTTTTCCAAACTTGTTAACCAGACAGGCCTCACAAACAGTTACAACCTAAAGGCCATTGCAGAACGGGCCAAATATAAAGAAAGTCCTCACTCAACAGAAGCTGAGAATAAGTAACAGTACTAGTACAGAACAAGACATTTTAATACTACATTACTGTACTGTAATTAAATTTCTCATGGTTCATCAGAAATAGATATTTATGCATTTGACTTTTATTACTTTCGACCAAGCAGCTAAAACAGTAACATGTTTTTAACGGAATTGGTGCTATCAACACACTGATGTCCTATTTCTTAATTTTTATGTACTACAGTAAGTTACATGGTTCTGGGTGAATTTTTTGTTATTGTACTGATAGTTTTTGACCTATCCACGCACTTGACAAGTATGATTGTACTAGCTTTTCAAGGACTTTTACTAGTGTCTTTGAGTCCTATATGTCTTTTGTTGAAAACAATAAGAACCACACTCATTATTTTAAAAGGTGAAGGTAGATAAGTAATTCTTGCCTCTTTTAAATAATAATTACAGTATTTATAATGGATGCAGGTGTTATGTAAGTTTTGGCTTGTTTTGGTACCTGATTAATTTAAAAATGTTAACTTCTGTTAAAAAAAGTATAAGTTCAAGGTAGGCCATCATACTTAAAACTAGATGGTAATAACTAATAAACTGTTATTTATTTCTTGATGTTAGCTCTTAAAATTTTGTTGTGTTTTTGTAAAGTTACATAAATTTGTTACTAATTCTTTAGCAGATGTATTAACCTTTAAATTGTTGATTTTATGGGACCATCACAGCTGATGTTTTATCAGTATTGCATAACACAGAAGTATTTAATGCTGAATGTATATATCTCAGGGGATAATTGTTCTCTTGCCATCACTGCCTTTTATTATAAGGAAGTTATTTACATGCACAAATATGTGCATGTTATTTTTAATTTAAAATGTTTGTCCTGTCTGATCCACCCAGCGTTGATAATAAATTAAGACAAACCCATATTTATGGGTCTCAGTGTAAGCCGTCTGACAAATATATTCCATTTTGGTTTATTTTTAACTCATGTGTCTTTTCTTCGAGAACTTCCAATATTGCTTATCTGTCCAAAACAAGCAGGAACATCCGCTCTCTTTTTCATAACTTTTCATAATACAAAATATTTGCAAATTGTGTGGGAGTGCAAAGTCTGGCAGCACCCTTATGCCTGTGCTGAGAAACTATTAGTTGAATATCCGATGACCCTGTTTATGTGATGTGGTCGTAAAGTCATGGCTACAACCGCTGCAATCAACCTAATCCAGACCAACCCATCATTCACCTAAAGTTTCTTACAATGAACTGCTCTTTGTAATCTTCAAAGGATTTGGAACTTTTGTTCTAAAAATAAATTCTTAGTATCAGGAAGGGCTATCGGCTTCATGATACAATGAGACGAAAAGGGGCCGTCCATAAACCACGTGGACAGAAGAGAGGGGGAGGGGGTCGAGGAAAATAAAAGATTTGTCCACGAGGAGGAAGAGGTGTGGGGGGGTGAATAGTGAATAATTGGCACTTAACACGTTCCCTGCGGCGCGACCACATAGTCGTGACGCTCCCATGTTCAATCATAGGCAGCTCGGATAAAGCTTACCTGTGGCCGTGTTGGTTGTAGCAAAAACGTCAACTATTCATATTAACAACTAGACGATCCGAATAAAGAAAATTAGTATAAAATAATTGTTAATCATATATTTTACGAGATATTTAATTAAGTTTCAAAAATGGTCAATTTCCGGCACAGGTGTTTTCATACGTCACGATTTGTGAGCGACAGAGAGGTGCAACGGTTTTGTACAAAACAAAACTAGGACGCGTCTTAAAATTGCGAGTCTGGACATGTATTGCAAAACAGCGTATCGCCTGTCAGTTGCTCACAAATCGCGTGACGCACGGACATTTCTGACCATCTTTTCTGAAATTCCCCAACTACAGTTACGCCTCTGTCTTTTTGAGATTCACGGCGCCCTTGTGCGTTGCCTCGTATGTCTCTGCTGAGACCAGGCAGCACCAGGCAGTTGTTGGGCGAGTGGTGGCTCGCCCTTGCATTGGACGAGCGCTACACCAAGCAGCCAGAGTAGTGGCCCTAAGCCAGAGGTGCGCGTCGTTGGAGTCGAGGCCTCGGCGGCTTCGGCGCGGCGTTACGGTGGGCACGAGGGCCTGGGCCTGGCCCACCTGTACTGTCCGAAAAGGGATCTTCTCGAGGCGGTTCGGGTTAAGCTGACTGGCCGCCGGGACGTCTTTGCAGCACAGGCGCCTGGGGGGTAGGCCGTCCCGTTGCGCTCGCGAGCACCGCGGGCTTGCCTATGCACCCTCGGCAGGCGCTTGGCGAGCAAAGCTAAAGCACTGCTTTGGACGTCCCTTTTTGCGGCAGCAATACCGGCGACCAGAGTGGTACTACACTTTTAAGCGTGTTACATGTGTGGTACTGTAGTTGGAAATGTGATACATGTATGGTACTACAGTTTTAACTGTGATACTCCTGGTAACTGTTTGACTTTGGGTTTCCAGAGTAGAGGCAATCCGTTTGTAATCTAGTGGTTCCTGATGTACGCTACAACCACAGTTCTTGGTGTAAGGAGGGTTTTTACACTCCGGCTGCAACACGTCTTTCCCAACGGCGGCGAAAGGCATAGGCAGAAGCCCCAAAGCCCACGCCCTCTATTTGTGGCCACAATGCCGGTGGCCGCAGCTTAATCCGACCCGACTATAGAGAATCCTATTTTGGGTAATATGATATTAAAAGCCTTCAGGGTACAAGCAGAAGGCAAGGACATGTTTTGCACATAATCCGCCCTGACAAGCCGAAACGACGGGTCCTACAAACGTTTTCCGATCTCCCCGCGACGCTCTAACGTCGACCGATGTCCTTTTGCCGCGCGCTCCGCAGCACTGTCTTCTTTTACCAGAGGGGTAATATCAGCAGTAGAGGAAAAGTAAAAATTCCCAGGTGTTCCTACAAGATTAAGGAACACACAGCATTGTTTCCATGAAACAAATTGAATGGAAGTTACAGAGATTAATCAGTCTGAGTTATTTTAAGACAGTCCCTTAAAAACTGTTTCTACCAGAGGGAAAAAACGTGCCCCCCCCCTCTCTCGCTGCTCCTTTAGATGGGAGCAGGGACTTGGGCCGGGGCCTTTCGGCTGGTCAGGGATTATGTGCGGGGCAGGTCCTTGCCCTAAGCCTTCTGCTTGTACCCTGAAGGCTTTGGATTTCATAATAATATTAGTAGCCGAAAAAGGATGTTCTATAGGCGGGTTAGATTAAGCTGAGTCTAGCTGCCGGCATTGTGGCCACAATTTTTTCTGGCCAAAAATAGGGACGTGTCTGAGCGCTCCTGAGCGTAGCCAGGCGCGGCACGTCCCTGTTTGTAGCTACACGATTGTAGCTACAGCCAACAGTGCCCGTGTCAGCTTAAACTGAACCGTCTATAGACGAATTTATTACTTCCGCCAATGGTAGAATATCAACCAGAAGTAAACTGCGCTAAGAACTAAAGCGAAAACGAAATATATCAACGCCTCTCCGAAGCTCTCGCCTTGTCCAAGCGCTCAGAGGGACAGAGGACCGCGGGGGCCCGATTCAGAAAAGCATTGCCTACCCTCCAGGCGTTTTCAGCGACAATCATCGACCCACGCCTAGATTGACACGGCGTCACTTCTTAGCTTTAGAAAGGATTTATGGGCCTGGGGTCAAAAGGAGCCTAAACCCAAAGTCCCCGTCACGACAGACGCCTTAGAGAGAAGCCCTCGCCTACCTCGCACTCGCAAGCGTCCAAGCGACTTCTCGTGTCGCGGCGACAAGTGGTAGTAGAGACACGTCCCTGTTCATGGACACAAAAATGTAGTCACACATGGGGCAACATACGATGTCCAACGCCATCAGCCACACGCCCCATTTGTAGTTAAACAGTTGTAGCTACAGTCGACATGACCGCATGCAGCTTCATCCGAACCAAAATTGTCGGCCCTAAGATCAACTCCCGGGCGGGGCAAATTTTTTCTTTGTCGCTTTTTGTTCCCCGTTAGGCAGGGCCGAGCTTAGGCAGCGGCCTGGGAGGAGCAACCTTGTAGCCGAGCGTGTTAATGCGTGATCGTTGGCAGATCGTGGGGATGGTCGGTAGTTCTAACCCCGTCCGCGATAATTTTTCCTGCTCTGGTGGGCAAGTGTCTTTGGGCGTCAGTCACAGCTGAGATCTGGATGCCGCCGAAAGTTGTGCTCTGTATCGTTCCGTCATGGCCAAGTCGGTAGCGTCCGGGCCCGGTATAAATATGGTCGCTGGTTCGAATCTCGGCCGGGTGGTATTTTTCGCGACCCGCTGGCCGGCCATGACTTTACAGCCGTGCGACACCTGATTTGTTGGGCCGGTACGCAAACAGACGCTGGTTCGAATCTAGTCGTCGGAACCCTTTTGCCCCTCTGCTAGCCATATGTTTCGGGGTGTAAGGAACGGCGGAGATAAGCTTCACCTATGCAAAGGCATCATCATTGGCTCAGATAGTAGAGCGCGCGCCTACGACGCGGATGGTTGTCGGTTCGAATACTGACCGGGGCTCATTTTTTCCTATTTAGTAGTTTGCGGCGCGGGGACCAACGGTTAGGACAAAAGACCAGCCGACATACCTCATTACGGAGGTGGACTTGACCGCCTACTCACCAGCCAAGACCAAGACCCGTAAAGCAGCACCGAGTTCTGAACTCTCTGCTGACAAGTGGAGCCGACAGCCGAGTGGCGAGCGTGCCGGAGCACTGCCCGGACACCCTTGGTCTCGGGATCGAATCCCGTCCGTGGAACTTTTTTCCCCTCCGCTGGTCATGTCTTTGGGCGTCAGCGACAGCTGAGATGGGAATGTCGCGGGGTGTCGTGGGTTCGAATACTCTCCGTGGTTCATTTTTCCCGAGGTCGCCCCAGGCGGCCTGTAGAGACATAGTCAGAAGCGGTGGAGGTTTCCTCGCCAGCAGTCAATGGCCGAGTGGGTTAAGGCGTCTGCGACTGGTCTCCTCGGTGTGGGAACGACTCCTACCCGAAGCATGCGTTCCACAATTTTTCTTGATGCTCCGCTCACCAGTACGTAGTAAAATTGTGGAACGCATGCTTCGGGTGGGAGTCGTTCCCACACCGAGGAAACCTGTCGCAGACGCCTTTACCCACTCGGCCATTGACTGCGGGCGAGGAAGCCTCCTCCGCTTCTGACTATGTCTCTACAGGCCGCCTAGGGCGACCTCGAGAAAAATGAACCACGGGGAGTATTCGAACCCACGACACCCCGCGACATTCCCATCTCAGCTGTCGCTGACGCCCAAAGACATGACCATCGGAGGGGAAAAAAGTTCCACGGACAGGATTCGATCCCGAGACCAAGGGTGTCCGGGCAGTGCTCCGGCACGCTCGCCACTCGGCTGTCGGCTCCACTTGTCAGCAGAGAGTTCAGAACTCGGTGCTGCTTTACGGGTCTTGGTCTTGGCTGGTGAGTAGGCGGTCAAGTCCACCTCCGTAATGAGGTATGTCGGCTGGTCTTTTGTCCTAACCGTTGGTCCCCGCGCCGCAAACTACTAAATAGGAAAAAATGAGCCCCGGTCAGTATTCGAACCGACAACCATCCGCGTCGTAGGCGCGCGCTCTACTATCTGAGCCAATGATGATGCCTTTGCATAGGTGAAGCTTATCTCCGCCGTTCCTTACACCCCGAAACATATGGCTAGCAGAGGGGCAAAAGGGTTCCGACGACTAGATTCGAACCAGCGTCTGTTTGCGTACCGGCCCAACAAATCAGGTGTCACACGGCTGTAAAGTCATGGCCGGCCAGCGGGTCGCGAAAAATACCACCCGGCCGAGATTCGAACCAGCAACCATATTTATACCGGGCCCGGACGCTACCGACTTGGCCATGACGGAACGATACAGAGCACAACTTTCGGCGGCATCCAGATCTCAGCTGTGACTGACGCCCAAAGACACTTGCCCACCAGAGCAGGAAAAATTATCGCGGGCGGGGTTAGAACTACCGACCATCCCCACGATCTGCCAACGATCACGCTTTAACACGCTCGGCTACAAGGTTGCTCCTCCCGGCCTGCTGCCTAAGCTCGGCCCTGCCTAACGGGGGACAAAAAGCGACAAAGAAAAAATTTGCCCCGCCCGGGAGTTGATCTTAGGGCCGACAATTTTGGTTCGGATGAAGCTGCATGCGGTCATGTCGACTGTAGCTACAACTGTTTAACTACAAATGGGGCGTGTGGCTGATGGCGTTGGACATCGTATGTTGCCCCATGTGTGACCACATTTTTGTGTCCATGAACAGGGACGTGTCTCTACTACCACTTGTCGCCGCGACACGAGTAGTCGCTTGGACGCTTGCGAGTGCGAGGTAGGCGAGGGCTTCTCTCTAAGGCGTCTGTCGTGACGGGGACTTTGGGTTTAGGCTCCTTTTGACCCTAGGCTCATAAATCCTTTCTAAAGCTAAGAAGTGACGCCGTGTCAATCTAGGCGTGGGTCGATGGTTGTCGCTGAAAACGCCTGGAGGGTAGGCAATGCTTTCCTGAATCGGGCCCCCGCGGCCCCAAGTCCCTCCGAGCGCTTGGACAAGGCGAGTGCTTCGGAGAGGCGTTGATATATTTCGTTTTCGCTTTAGTTCGTAGCGTTGTTTACTTCTGGTTGATATTCTATCATTGGCGGAAGTAATGAATTCGTCTATAGACGGTTCAGTTTAAGCTGACACGGGCACTGTCGGCTGTCGTGTAGCTGACGTGCCGCGCCTGGCTACGCTCAGGAGCGCTCAGGCACGTTCCTATTTTTGGCCAGAAAAAATTGTGGCCACAATGCCGGCAGCTAGACTCAGCTTAATCTAACCCGCCTATAGAACATCCTTTTTCGGCTACTAATATTATTATGAAATCCAAAGCCTTCAGGGTACAAGCAGAAGGCTTAGGGCAAGGACCTGCCCCGCACATAATCCCTGACCAGCCGAAAGGCCCTGGCCCACGTCCCTGCTCCCATCTAAAGGGCTTTGCCGTCTAAAGGAGGAGCGAGGGAGGGGGGGGGCACGTTTTTTCCCTCTGGTAGGAACAGTCTTTAAGGGACTGTCTACACATAACTCAGACTGATTAATCTCTGTAACTTCCATTCAATTTGTTTCATGGAAACAATGCTATGTTTTCCTTAACCTTGTAGGAACACCTGGAAAGAGGCGTGTTGCAGCCGGAGTATAAAAACCATCCTTACACCAAGAATTGGGATTGTAACGTACATCAGGAACCACTAGATTACAAACGGATTGCCTCTACTCTGGAAACCCAAAGTCCAACAGTTACAAGTGCAATACCAGGAGTATCACAGTTAAAACTGTAGTACCAGACATGTATCACACTTCCAACTACAGTACCACACATGTAGCACGCTTAAGAGTGTAGTACCACTCTGGTCGCCGGTATTGTTGCTACAAAAAGGCACGTCCAAAGCAGTGCTTTAGCTTTGCTTTCCAAGCGCCTGCAGAGGGTGCATAGGCAAGCCCGCGGTGCTCGCGAGCGCAACGGGACGGCCTACCCCCCAGGCGCCTGTGCTGCAAAGACGTCCCGGCGGCCGAACCGACTCGAGAAGATCCCTTTTCGGACAGTGCATGATATCCGACGTCGACCGACGCGCCCAGGGTGTAAGCAGAAGCCTAGGCCTGCTCTGCACATAATCCCTGCCTAGGCGAGAGGCCCCGGACTGCCCGGACGCATCCAGAGAGACACTATCCCAACCCATAGAGACAACTTAGAGTACTGATTGCACCCACATTCACAACTCTCGCACGGCATCGTTCGCTTTAGCTACACGTCCTTTTTAGACGATCCTGTCAGGGGTCGGCTATACAGGACAAATTTTGCAATATTGGTGCTTGGCGCGGGGTGGGGGGGAGCGGTCCTAACTTCCCCCCTCCGGACAACAATCACTTTTGTGCGATAGGTCAGGCGTTGATATATTTCGTTTTCGCTTTATAGTTCTTACCGCTGTTTACTTCTGGTTGATATTCTACCATTGGCGGAAGTAATGAATTCGTCTATAGACGGTTTAGTTTAAGCTGACTCGGGCACTGTCGGCTGTAGCTACAATTGTGTAGCTACAAACAGGGACGTCCTCTGGTTCGGGTCGGGAGAAACAGCGATAAATGTATATGCGCAAATTACACGGCTTCGGTCTTGCTCTTCTAGCGCCTTTCCTGTTGATTTTACTAAGGCGAGTGGAGGGCATTCTTTGGGCTTTAAAATGAGCTTCCGTCCGACACGATCCGACCTCCCGTTTAGGAATGGCATGTACGAGTTTGCCGAAAATGCTATCGGCGCTCGGCCCAGGAGCTATGTCAAAGTAAGTATAACTCTTTCGTTCAAGCCGCTGATGAGTGATGAGTGCCTGAGAAACTTTTGTTTTCATCGACTTTACCATAAGAACTAACATTTGATTCTTGTGTTGTTCTATGGTAAAATAAAAACACAGCAATAACCGCGTGTTTCTTTAAACTCATTTATTAACAACTAAAACAGATGCTAATATATATACTGATTCACATTATGTTTTCCCTACTGCAGACATCATCCTAAAATACTTTTGCTTACCAGAGCCCTTCACCCAAAATCTGTTTATTAATATACAATCCTTCATTTCCCACACTTTCAACCCTCAAATCACTCACAACCCATTTACAAGAAAAAAAATATTAAAATTTAATAAAATGTAAAGATTGAGGATGATTTCAATGTTACCAAAAATAGTAATAATACTTAGATACAAATCTGGATAGGGGCACAAAATTTATGTCTGCAGTATCATATGTGCAACACCAAAACCTGAAGAATTAGGAAAATTGACGATGCAAAAAGGATATTTTCTAGAACATCACGGATTGGTAAAAAAAAGTTAAATTAGGGAATGCTTATATAGTTGTAAATATATCTAACATATCGCACAGGAATAATTTTTGCAGAAACGTTCAAGCATGAGAAAGAGGCACCCTTACTCATGGTCAAATTCTATCACCTGGAAACTCTCCTAAAAATAAGGTCTGAAGATAATAACTCCTCTGAAAGTATGCATGTTAGCATGTTAGCATTCAAGATTATTCCTTCACTTTAAAGTGACCAACTAATCAGACAGAAACCTACAGATTTCAACATGAAACTCAGTCATAAATTTAATGGTGATAGACTGACAGGGAAATTAGATCTTTGTCGTATTTGAACTGAGACTTTCTGCAAAAAATACAGTATAAACAATTGTGATTTGAACTGTTGGCTGAGTCCAGGGCACTGTACTTTTGTAAGAATTCTCAACTCACAATACAGAAACAAAACATTTGATTAACATCAACAAGTCTATCTTTCTACTTTCTATCAGATGCATAAGAGTCATAATACCTTAAACTTTGTAATCTCAACAGTAAGCACTCTAGCAACCAAATAATGTAAGACTTTCCTTCGACAAATACAAAATATCATAAAAAAATTATCACAGAAAAAGTGAGGTTCATTTTCTGGTCCTAGTACTTACATGACAGATGTTGCAGATTTGCTAAATATCAGTTTGTAATTAATTTTCAAACCCTTGACTGCAAACTCAAACATCAATGAGGTATACTTGCACACAACACCAATCATCAGTATTTCACTGCATTGGTATTGGTAAGTGGTAACTCATTTGAACATTTGTTATAATAATATTAGCTATTGCTATTCCCAGAAAAAGAGGTGTTTGAAAGAATCAAATGTTTTGTAAAACATATGAAAAAATTTGTTAATTTTAAAAAACAAAAACATAAAAAACAAGAACACTTGTTATCATTTTAGACTTTTCAAATCTTCAGTGGAATCCTAGAGTGTGAATTCCCAGCAGTTATAAATGGCAAATAATATTGAAATTATTTGACGATTATGGAAGATAAAAATAGTAATACATTTGACAGGCTTACAACATAACGAATACATCCACATTTTTCAGTTGGCAACATTCCTCCATTTACAGCTCTATGGTAAGGTACACAAATTAAAATAAGTGCAAAAGAAGTGTGTAACCATTTGTAAAAATACACAAAGATTAGGTAGGACACCAAACTTGCCTATGCTAATTGGTCTCAATTTCCTAACAAGAGAAAGTAGTTTAGCAGGATTGGTAATGAATAGAAAATTTGACAAGCCAACAGGAAAGAGTTGAATTCATGTCAATTTTCTTTTTGTTTTAAGAAAACATTCTTTAAATTGCCCTGATTTCAACTCAAATATTTTTTAGATTATATTCACAAACAGTTTGAAGTATTTCTACCTTCCGCCAGACAAAATCTATGTTCATAACAATGGATATGAATAGTGCATTAATCAAAGAGCTGCTCAAAGAACAGACTAGGCTGAAATGAGGTCGTGTTGAACGATTCAGTCCATTGAGATCAACCAAGCATATATTTTTGGAGGGTGTGTCACACTGAATGTATCAGGTCAAAATGTCCTGGAGTGGGTACTTAGTTACTACATCTCCACAATAGCAGCTATTAACATGTGATGTCAACATAATCACAATACAGTTCATTTTTGTAAACTCACTACTCACACAATCAACAACACATGCAATAAATCTTTAATATACACATATATTCTCATACACAATCAAACATTACCTTCAGCCTTTTCCATTTTGCTCTAATTTCTTGAATCACCATGATTATCATCGTTCTCCATCAACATCAACATTTTTGTACATCTGTTATCACAGCACTACCATATCAGTCGGCCCCTTGTCGAGGCGGGAGAGAAAAAGGGGGGAAGGGAGGGGGAGAGGGAGGGGGCTTTGGAGTAGGGAGGGAGGGGTGGGAGTAAGTTAGGCATAAGTTAGACCAGTGCATAATCTCACAGGCTAAACGTCAGATTGAGTGTGAGCAGATCCATGGGTTTCATGCGCGCCTGGTCCAGGCCCCCCAGTCTGTCCACGTGGTGCAGGCCCGTCAGCGAGGTCTGCGTCACAGACTCGAGGCGCAGCCGGGAGAACGCCGTCCTCGGGTGGAGCGCGAGTCTGTCCCTGCCCTCGGCGCTACCCTCGCCGTTGACGTCGGCGTTGGCGTCCTCGTCGCCCTTCCGCACCGCGTTCTCGTCGTCGTCCGTCACGACGCTGCAGCGCGACAGCGCCACGCCGGCGCCCACGTCGCACGCGAAGCCCTGGCGGTGCAGCACGAGCAGCGCCGACGTGGAGGGGAACTGGGCGTAGCTGCCGTCGGCGAGCGTGCGCAGGTTGAGCAGGTGCACGTCGCAGGGGAAGGGCCGCGACACCAGCAGCACCTGCTTGTGCAGCGACGACTCGACGAGGCGCGCCACGGGCGGCGGCGGCGGCGGCGGCTCGGCCAGCGGCGACGCCGTGGAGGAGGGCGCCAGGTCCTCGCCCGCGCTGCTCGCGTCCACGACGTACACGTTGGTGGGGTAGATGAGCGAGTTGGAGAGGTGGTTGCTGAACAGGCTGGGCCGCGAGTGCTGCCCCTTGTCGCCCGACCCCGGCGCCACGTCCTCCAGCAGCAGCCAGAACTTGGTGAGCGTCTGCTTGTTGTCCACCACGCCCTCGCCCATCCCCCGCGAGTCGTCGTACAGCGTCCGCCGGTCCAGCATCACCTCGAGCCAGCCGGGCTGCCAGCTCGCCGCGCCCTGGGCGTGGTTCAGCAGCAGCGACACGCGCCGGCTGTCGTCCTGGATGTAGGCCTGCGAGTACAGAAACACATACATAACAATGCTTAGCAATCAACAAAGCAATATGCTTCATAATACCAAAAAGGATCTTTGTCGCTAAAGGTGCGTCAGGCGTCAGACTCTAAGGCATACCTGGGTGGTGACAGGGAAGTAGTTGCCCTCGATGCCGATGCGGTCCACCTTGACCCGCCGCTGCATCTGGAAGCCGTTGAGGTCCGTGTACACCTCCGGAGGGTCGCCGTTGGCCACGTCCGTCACGAGCCGCATGAACAGCTCCGTCTCGCGGTTCTTGGGGGGCGACTCGAAGTCCACCACGTTCTCGATGTAGACGCCGCTGGCGAGCGCGCCCTGCGCGTGGTACAGGCGCACCGAGTGCGCGAGCACGCGGCCGTAGAACACGGTCACCTCGGAGGCGACGGGCCCGGAGGTGATGACCACCTGCCGCGAGGACGCGTACCCCTCCAGGAAGTCGCGCTCGCTCTCCCGAGACGGGTCGGGCATGAAGAGGTAGGCCCCGGAGTGGAACTGCGCCGAGGGGTAGGCGGAGAACTGCACCCGGCAGCGCGTGCTGCGGCCGCCAGCCTTGTGGGTCACGGCCTTGAGGAAGCCCGACGCGCCGTCGAACAGCAGCTTCATGGCGTAGTTCTCGAGCTGGATGTCGCCCGCCTGCATGCCCTTCACGTCGAAGGGCGACACGAAGGCGGTGCCGTCGTCAGGGTTGCGGCCGCACGCCGCGCAGTACACCTTGGCGCGGGAGGCGGCCTGCTTGGTAGCCATGCGCTCGAGCCGGTACGAAACGAGCGCCAGCGGCGGCAGCTCGGCCACGAACATGAGCTCGAACGCGTCCCGGTTGAGGTGCAGGCGCGGCTCCGGCTGCTGCTGCTGGTCGTCAATGCTGACACCGGAGCCGCCGGCGCCACTGGCCGTCAGGTTCCAGATGGGGCTGACCTGACAGGGCACCGTGTTGCCCTCGGGGTCGATGACACGCACGTCGGGCGTGGTCACGGTGAGCTTGACCACGTCCTGGCGGTGCTGGGCCAGCGAGTTGAACAGCACGACGGTGCGCGGCTGGCCCAGGCCTAGCTCCACGGGCACGCGGCGCGCCAGCTTCTCGTACGACTCGCGGTCCGTGTCGGGCTGGATGAACTCCATGGAGGGCGGCGCGCGCGGCGGAGGCGGCGGCGGGCCGCGGCTGCTGCTGCCGCCGCTGCTGCTGCTCGCGGCCGGCGCGGGCGCGCCCACGGCACCCGCCTCGCCCCGCCGCAGCACCTCGTCGCGCACGAGCAGCGTCTGCACGCACAGCCGCTGCAGGCGCTGCGTCTCCTGCAGGCTGTCGAACATCTTGAGGGCGTAGTCGTGCATGACGGAGGCCTTGGAGGTGCCCGTGATGGCGTCGTGGTGCTGGAACAGCGCCAGGTTGCGCCGCGACTTGATGAGCTTCTCGTAGTCGCGCTCGAGCAGCTTCACGGTGTAGTTGAAGCCCGAGCGGCGCGCGCGGTTGAGCGTGAGCGCGTAGAGGATCTCGGCCGAGCGCAGGCTCGCCTCCAGCTCCCGGTCCAGGATCTTCCAGTAGGGCCGCGTGGTGAAGTAGCCGCTCCAGTAGGCGGGCCGGCCCTCGCTGAAGATGTCCGCGTACACAAAGAAGTCGCCCTTGAGCGTGTCGAAGTGCTGCGTGCGCTCGCGCACCGCCGCGAAGTAGTCGGCCGGCGTGCCGAACACCACCTCGGCGTGGTACTCGTCGGCGTGCTTGTTGATGTACTCGGCCAGGCGGCTGTAGCCATCGTACTGCTGGTCCCACTCCTGCTCGTGCGAGTAGCGGAAGTCGTCGCCGATCGGCATGAGCACCACGTTGTGCGGGAACAGCGAGCCCGTGCGCCCGTACTGCTGCAGCAGCAGCTCCGCCTTCTGCTTCACGTTCGAGTCGTCGATGGGCACGGCACGCAGAGAGTACTCGGTGTACTCACCGGGGATCTTGCGGAAGTCAAAGTTGAGGCAGATCTGCAGACACAAACAGGCGACAGGGTTAGAGACAGGCGCGCAGCCAGTGCGGCACCAGTGCGGCAGGGGCGAGCTGCTCGCTACTCACCTGAGGGTGCGGGCCGCACGAGTGCTTGATCGAGTAGATGTCGAAGGGCTGGTTGTGCGTGAGCAGGTCCGTGCGGCCGTCCGTGTCCCAGGCCTGGCGCCACAGGAAGTCGCCCATCTGCTGCTCGGCCAGCCACTGCTTCCACGCGTAGTGGATGCGCTGGATGATGGTGCCCGAGGAGACGCCCGAGGCCTTGAGCAGGTACGGCACCGTGGCGCCGTGGCCGAAGGGGTCGATGGACCAGCCGGTGCGCGGCGTCACCCCGAGGTTGTTCTTCACCCACTGGTGACCTGCGGGGCAAAAAACAGAGACTTGAGCACTCGAGGGACTTGCGTTGGAGGGTAATGGCTGGCCGACCGATTATTCAGAAGATCTCTTTCGTCCCCCCGTACGTCATAGAGGGAGAGACAAGGACTACACCTAGGTCCGACCGAGTAGGTCGACAAGGGCGACGGAACGAAAGAGCACCCTCTGAATCCTCGGAAACAGTCGGCTGGCACCGCCGCTAGACACGTGCGCCCAGGTCGGCGTCCTGCTGGGGGGCGAGGCCTCGACCCTCCGCGGCCCCATTCCCAACGCCCTGCCCTGCATTCTCCATTACCCCCCCCCC